TGTTTAGAATGATACCATAACAACATTAGAGGGTAAGATATGAGAATATATATCACATAAAAGGGTGGAAGTCCATCATAAAAGGCCAACCTTGCACCATCTTCTGGAGTGCCTCCACAGCAAGAGTGTCAGAAAGAACAAATACAGGGTTCTTAGTCATTACTTTGGAAACTGGTGTCTCCTCTAGATTAAGCTCCCGAGCAATCACTCTTATTGCTATGTCCTTCAGACATTAAAAAAATCCATAAATAAGAGACATCATAGTTGTCAGATTAAGCTCCCAAGCAATCACTTTTATTGCTATGTCCTTCAGACATAAAAAAAATCATAAATAAGAGACATCATAGTTGTTATAGTTCACTAAAGTTCTGAATGCAGTGAGCATGCAAGCCACTCCCCACCCTAGTGGGGCCAAAAGAATAAATAAATAATAAGAAAGGGCGTTCTTTATGCAAATGTCAATCCAAAATGACAGAGAAAGCATGGCCAAAGTCCTATGATATCATATCAGAGTGAAGAAATTAATTTCATGTAGTTGTCTGCACTTGTTTTGAGATTTACATGTAAAGAAATTTGTTAAAGTCAATGAGGATATCAGTCATACCTTGTCTGTGAGGATCCCACAAAGTAATGCATTAGAGTCAGTAAGCAATAACGCATCAACCCTACGAGCAACCATCCTACGGCAAGCCTCATAAATGCTTGTACTTTCAGGTACTGTCAGGGCCTTTGACAGCCGCAACCTCTTCACAGTACGCTCTCCAGCTAGTCCCCTTTCCACATGCAAGTTGAAACAAAAAGTTCCATTACTACTTCTTTCACAATGAAATGTTACATTTGTTCGAATCTGTAACCATTTGTCATCACTAATTTGACAGAATGTACACATTTAAAACATGAATTTTCACAAATTATTACCAACAGCTTTGAATTTTCACCAAGTAGCAAGATTAATAGGAAATAAATGCACATGGCTAACTGTATTTACAAGTAGCAGCTTCTATTCTTCCAGAATTAAAAATTCAAAGAAAGAGGCCAGTCTCAAGAGTGTGAACATATTTTAAAGCAAAATGAAGGTTCATGTTTAAAGCAGTGCAACTAAAGAGAAACACATATTGAAGTAGCTATGTTAGACACATATCCGTGTGCACATCCATAATAATATGAGAGCATAGCCCTCCAAATATAAGGGAAAAAATTTAATGCCCCTATGTTGGACATGTTGCCAAGCAACATAGGTAACACACATACAAGGTAAAGAGGAAAAGGAAGATAATGGTTGTAAATCCCATCATATTCAATATAACTGTCCATATCCATTCCTTTATGAAAAAGCATAAACATTTCTAAAGAATCATCTGGAAACAATTGACAAATTTTCCAACTGGTAGTTTCGTAGTAGTTAAGATAATGTAAGAAGTAGCAATTAGATTCCTTTCTTTCAAAAACAACTGGGAAAAAAAACTAGCTATATAATTAATAGCCTTTATCTAGACTTGGCAATTCATGTATTCATATTATACAAAATATTAAAATTTGTGTATTCATACCGTGTTTTACACGAAAATTACATTTCATACGAAAACATGATACATAATTTTTTTGTTTTGTTAAACCTATATATAGTTATTACTAAAATTTTAAGCCGTGTCACTTTTATATCCTATTTTTGTATGGTTTTCTTCTTGTGTCACCCTGTAATATTTTACATTGAAAGGTCTACCTTTAGCAATATATTCAAATTCAATCATTCTTTTTTCTTAATAAAACTTCAACAAACTAAGTCGTGCCTTCTACACATTACAAAAATTTTCTTTATCAAAAACTTCAATAATTCTTCAAAATTCAAATCAAATTACTATGTTTTAAAAATGATAAAAAACGAAACATAAGATTTGAAATGAAAAACTTACAAAGGACGAGAAGATGATAAGAGTTTTCGGCCAGAGTCGGAACCTCCATTCTCCGATGTTTTTTTCTTCGACGATGACAAGTTTCCCATTGATAAACTTCGCCTCGATGAACCGCTTTGACTTGCCATCTCCAATCCCTGCGGAAACGCATGGAATTTTCAATTTTCTCATAATGAAGAAATAACGAATAAAAACAAATTAATAAAACAAATCAACAACGAACCAGAATTAGAAACTTATTTGATTTCTATGTCAAATCCGGAGACTTCAATTAAATCGCTAAAACCTCTTAAAATTGCAGCTCGATTTATTAATTAAACAGTTCGAGAAGAGGTGAAGCGGGAAAATCAAGCGATTGGGACAAAAAGGCACAGAAGATTCTCGGCTTCCAAAAAGCGATAGAAAGTTTTTCAAGCGTTGAGATTTCGAAGAGAAAAAGGAACAATCGTCGGTCGGGAATTCTAGCGGGAAAGTTTGGATTTTCCCGGGAAAACGCACCCGACCGGAAGGCGGAGAGGGAATAAAGAATCGTTAAGAAAACCCTAAGAATGGGAAAGCGTATACAAATTTGTGGAAATAAACCAATCAGATTCTTCCACGTGGGGTATATTAACTGATATTGCTCCGATTTAACGGGATTTTGTGAGGTTTCCAATTTTCGCGAAGGCGGTTTGAATTTTCTGATTGTAGTTGTATTACGTAAATAGAGTTAATTACAGTAATTACAACTTTGACCTTACAGTATCTTTTTATAGGGTGTAATTAATTAACAATTTGTTTTTATTATTTTGATTTTTTAAAAAATATTAAAAATTAATTTTCATAAATTTATTAACTCGAACATAAATAAATTTAATTGAAACTATTCAAAAAAAATATTAAACAAAACCAACAAATTTTTACGTTAAAAAAATTAACCTTTTTTATATCTTTTCTTTTATTTTTTAATAATAAAATGGTGATTTCTTCTCTCAAATTTCATAGTGAATACATTGAAATCAACTATATAATACATAATTTTTTGCAATCAAACGTTGTCAATTTTGATAATTAATATTTTAAATATTTTATGAAACTACATTCTTATAAAAAATATATTTATAAATATTTTAGTATTTTTTATATTTTAATTAATTAATTAACCGTAGTAAGTATATTTTAATCCATGATCATATATCACGCGAGAGCCCATCCTATTTGACTTGGTAATTTAATTAATTAAAGCATGATAATAATGTTCGTCTAATTGACAGTGTAAAAATTATTGTTATATATTAGTTTTTTATATAAGATCATAAAGAAAAGAAACATTTGATGAAAAATTCATAAATATTTTTATTTATATTTATTTATTAAATTTAATAAACGAATATAAATAATATTTTAAAATTTATTAATTAAATAAATAAATTATAAATATAATAAAATTCGTTTATGTTTAATCTATTTAAAAAAATTAATAAAATGGTTGTTAAATAGTTGGTGAACGAGTTTGATTTTATTTATTTATATTCGTTTATTAAATTTAATAATTAATTATAAATAATATTTTACAATTCACTCATTAAATAATTAAATTATAAATATAATAAAATTTATTCATATTTAATTTGTTTACGTTTTTTAGAATTATATGTTGCTGACGCCTGAGATTCAAATAATTTGTTGTTTACTTGTTTTTGTCCTTTACATCTAGGGATGGCGAGTTAACCCGTCCCCGACGGGTTTCGGCCCGGCCCGACCTCACGGGGTCGGGTTTTTTTTTTTGAAATTCGGGTTTCGGGGGTCGGGTCGGGTCGGGTACAATAAGAAAACAGTCGGGGTCGGGTTTACCTAAAACCCGACCCGACCCGATCAGATATTATATAAAAATTATTTTTTAATTAATTATTTAATTTTTTATTATATATATATTTATATAATGATATTTTTAAATATTTATATTTAAAAAATAATATTTTATATTTAAAAAATAATATTTTATTAATTTCGGATCGGATCGGGTCGGGTACGGTTGCGTTCTTTTCACTGAAAAATAAATAAAAATTCTAGGTCAGAATTCGGTTTAATAGCTTATAAATGTGTCGGTCCTGCGAGCAAAACTTAGCCGTAATCCAATTGTCCAACCCATTTACATCTAAGATTAGACTTCATTTTCCATTTAGTTAATATTTTTTTTCCAATAGAATATGAAAAAACTTAAATAAAATTTTTAAGATGAAGTTTGTGAAAATTTTAATATAAATAATTTAATTAAAATTTTAATAAAAAATTTAAATTAATAAATTGATAGAGTTAAATGAAAAAATTAATAATATGTATAAAAAATTATTAAAAATATCATTTCTAATTTAAATTTGATCAATATTTATTTAACAGTAAAAATTTTATCAAAATTTATACTAAAAGGGACTATCTAAAAATATATTAAAATTTATTTTTTTCAAAATTTACACGATTAATTTATGTAACAAAATATTTTAATCTATTAATTTTTATTTTAATTTAATTATTTTTAATAAAAATTTCACCAATTTCACTTAGGACTTTCTCATCTGAACAGTAATCCAACCAAGTGCACCTTGCTGCTTATCTCCATCAATGTTGCCGGTACCTGTTGCCTTGTCAACATTTCCTTTGCCACAGCACCCAAGCACGCAAGTAGCAAATTATACATGTATATGACTTCCAAGGTTCAGCCGATCATGCAAAACTTCGATCAGCCAATGGCAGGCCTCTTAAGTCTTAACTCTTACGGCGCAAATCCCATTTCCTGACCAACAAACAGCCCATTAGAGCCAATGGAGAAGGCTTGATTTTGAATTTTCAATACAATGGACAGATGCTTAACGCAATTGGATAGCCTTGATTTGTCACCATTCAGTGGATATGCATTTCTTTGAACGAAAGAAAAGAGACCTTTGCGTAAGAAATTTGTCCTAACGTGCAAGATTCTGATCAGACTCAAAGTAGGGAAGAAATTTACTAGTGTTGCTTGCCTGTGCCTGCCAATGAATGGTGTTGGGATGCCATACATGCCTTAATGCTTTCATTGAAAGCAAAGAATTTCTTCATATAAGGAGCCTCAACCAGTCCTCTGATCTGTGAAAAACTTTGGGTGTCTCTAGGATTTCAATATTCAAAGTGTCCCAAAGCAAAAGTATCAAACTAGCTATAGGGTTATTGTAGAGGGTCCCATGTCACTTTTGCATAGCAAACAAACCTGACATCAAGCTCTTACAATATGCTTATAATTATGTTCCATTGCATTCTTGGAAGCATTCCTGATTGTCAAGTCTCAGTGACACTGTTGCAGCAAAGTTAGGGTCAGGGTCAGCAATGGTGGATTGGGCGCCAATTCTGATAGGGCTATTGCTCTTCATACTTCTCTCCCCTGGTCTCCTCTTCCAGCTTCCAGGGAACACCAGGGCAGTGGAATTTGGCAACTTCAAAACAAATGGGAAAGCCATTGTGATCCACACTCTCCTCTTTTTTGGCCTCTTCACAATCCTCATTTTGGCAGTCGGCATCCATATCTACATTGGCTAATTTTCGTATGCACAATCCAAACACACCAATGATCATCCAATGAGACCTTGGTTTGACACTATATTTTATTTTTTTAAAATTCTTTTCTATGTAGTAATCTGATAGTGTTCTAATTACCCCTTTGCGATTTCATTACATCTGCCATATGTAGAAACTGCACGGTAATTCTTTGTTCTGGTTTCACAATGTCATTTCTTGATGGTTGAACTGCTTCCTTTTGATAATGGACATTGCACCAAATTAAGATATCTTGGCATAGTCATGTTAATTTTTTTTTCATTTGTAAAATTGGCCATTTGTGGTAATCGAAATTTATGGAGTTTCTTATTAACTTGCTATTTATTATCATTTTCTTTTTATTTTTTATTTCAGGGAAGGGATTCAAAATTGCTTTTTGAGCGAAAAATATATGCAATTAATATTTAATCAAAATTTTAAGTGCAATCTATTAACCTTATCCAATAAATTCAAACTCATGCCTAATTTTAAAAACAGTTTTACTGATAAACATTAAAAATTTAGAGAGATTCGTAATTTGGTAGGCAGTATTTAAGAGTAAAAATTTGTGTTAAAATAATTTTAAAGGCCAAAACTTTAGTACAACTAATAAGCAAATCTTTTTTTTTTGCTCTTGTTCGAATTGCTAATTCACCACCTTTAAGAAACCCAAGATAATCGCAGCCGTTGAAATCAGACAACGGGGAGATGGCTTACACGTTTATTTGTCGTGTCGCGATACCCGAGAAGGATCCAATATGGATGCAAACTGTCCCGTTTTGTCTTGTTCTTTCTCTCATTACACTTTTTTTTTAGTTTTTCTTTTTCCAAAAGCTGCACGTTCTCTTTGTACTTTCTCCTTTTCTTCTTCTTCTGGCAAGAAACAAGAAACAGAGGAGGGGGCTAATGGCAGATTGGGGTCCTGTCTTAGTAGCGACAGTGCTGTTCGTTTTGCTGTGTCCTGGACTTTTGTTTCAGATACCTGGTAGGAACAAGGTTGTCGAGTTTGGGAACATGCAAACCGGTGGAGCTTCCATTCTCGTGCATGCTGTTATCTACTTTGGTCTCATTACTATCTTTTGTATTGCCATTGGAGTTCACATCTACGCTTCCCAATGATCCAGATTTTGCATCCTTACTTTCTCATTTCCATGGGTTCTTTTTTTTATTATTATTATGTTCTTGTTGTTGGTTTATCTTTATTTGTAATCATGGAAGCCATGTTTTATGTAGTTGATCTGTGAAATGGTTTTGGGTTTAGAACTTTAGATCCAATGAACCATATTATTTTCCTTGTGGAGTTTATGATTTACATTTTTGCTATGTTCTGGGTGCATTATCTTAATGCCTGTCTATAAAACTGATGGATTTGGTCTGTACAGACAATGATTTACGGCCGTTTTCAAGGGAATCTGAACATTTGATGTGATTACGACTCTGCCATCTGCTTTGTATGTCCTGTGAAGAAGGATCATATGCATGCTCCACAAGTATCAACTTAGGTTGGACTTGGGGGAGGCAAAAGTTGAGTAATTCATCATAAAATTGGACTGAGATAAACAGTTCTAGACTTCTAGTTTGAGCTAGCCTAAAATGATTGGGCTTAGGAGTGAGCAAAGCTTCGTTTAATTTTCAAGAGCCTGTGGTCTGCTCAATAATGGACTGTCCAATTATACTTCATTGACAAAGGCCAAGGCCAATGAGAGAATGGCTAAGGTTGCATTAGGAAAATGGCATTTTAGTGCTGTACTTCAATGCTGTGAGAAGAAAAGGGATTTTCATTCGCTTTCAAATGAAGTTTAGTAATGTTTCGATGGATGGTTCATTATGCTTCCTTTCAAATGAGGTCTAAAATGTTTGAATGAATTGTGCAGTGTTAATAAGAATTTAAATTTAAATTTAATTGATTTATTTCGTAATTTTTAAGATCTAACATCTAACACGTACAATTTCTTTTCTTATTTAAAAGTATTTTTATTTAAAAAAAGGTAAAGAGAAAAGAATGAGATTCGTAACGCACTTTTCTTTTTCTCTTTTAGTGATATCAGCAAGTTGGTCCTCAGCCACAACACTTTCGTTTTGTAAAAAAAAAAAAAAAAAAAGTGGGAGGTAGAAACTGAAAGTGGAAACATTGAGGTTAAGCAACCCCACATATCAAAATCCCTAATGCTGAATGGTTGATCCACGAACAATTGCTCCTTTACAAAGCCCATTACGGTTTCTTTTTCCTTCTTTCTGATAAGCCAAAAGTGATCAACAGGTTGATCTTTCAAGTTTTATTCCTACTTTCAATTAAATGATCATTTTAAATATAATACGAGGATATAATATAAAAATAATATAATTTTTCATATATTAAATATGAATTTAACATGTATCATATATGAGATATATAAATATAAATATGTAAATTATCAAATATACTTTCAACCCTAAGCTTCATAAGATTCCTTAAATTTTATACGATAGAGCAAAGACTCAAACGTGAATTAATCATCAGAAATGGGACGTTCAAAGGTTTTGAGCAATAAAAATTATAGTGGGGTTTCACTAGGCTGGAAGATATCATCAGACTTTATTTACCTTCAAACCCAGTTTACAACTGATATTTCGACACCTGTCTCCCCACGTTTTCAAAAACTCCAAACATTTTTTCATTTCAAAAAGGGCATCATGATGAGATCACTAGCTTTTAAACTTTTAATCCACCTCCAGTCACAATTCCCATCCAACATCCCAATCAATCAACTTTACATAACAGGTGTTGGTCTCTCCTTGGAGGCAATAGAATCATAGATTGTACCATGATCCATACGTGTCGAACACCCAAGATATTGTTAGTGAAAAAGCATAGCAGGGAACTATTGCTTGCCCTATCTCCGGCCTCCACATTGTTCGACATAGATTGCCCGTTGTACCAGGTAATTAATAATCACCAAATAGCTATCACTAGCCAGCGCTGGAGGTTGACCGCTAGTTCATAGATGCGCCTGTCAAGCATATCATGGACTAGGCATGCTTCATTTCGTTCACCTCCCTCTCAAATCATCTTAAAAGCATCTTTTTTTTAATCCAATGTCGTCATCTCTATTTTCTGTAAGGACATTAAGGGTAGGGTTTTCAACATTGCTTGTATATGAACACACAATGGTTATAGTAATACTAGTATATATTCAAAGCATTAATCTAATCGGATTGCTGTGAGTAATTGCATGTGAGTGAAAATTAATTCTACTAAAGCAGATGAAAATGTTTATATTCGTACATAGGTATGCAGAAACAAGCATTGTTTGCTAAATTTTTACCTGGTAATGATGTGGCTCTTGGTACATATACGTGTATTTATGGATTCGATTTAACTAATTTGAGATTTATTTTAGTGTTATTTTTTTTATATATAGAAACAACGAACTTATAACGTGACATAAAGGTATTGTTTACTCCAACATTATATTATGTGTTAGAGAAATTATAACTTAGGCTTATGCTAAATTAAGGTTTTATTTCTTTGATATTTCTAGAATAAGGGTTATATACTTTAATGAATCCCATTGAAAAGTTGCCAAGTCCATCCTTCTCTCTTAACATTTGTGCTTTAATGGTAAAGATTAGCCAAATAGACATCTAGCAGGAAAAGCTAAGCCCTTTTATGCCTATGTTTTTTTTGGTTTAGTTGGGAGGGGGGGTCCGGCTAGAACTGAGGTACAAGAAAGTCGAGAATTTGGAAATTTAATGAAGATGCATGTCAAACAAAACAAAACAAAACGGTGGGTGCAGTAATAATAAAGGAAAAGAAGGACAATTATGAAAGGCATCTTAGTAGTGTGGTCGTGTCACCTTAGTCATCTACGCCTAACTCCTGATAATGATGGTATAAACTCATTTTGCTTGCATGGACCAGGAAATGGCTTTCGAAATCAAGAGCCATTTCTCTTCTTTTTTCTTGTATAAATATAGTTAAACACAGAAGTTTATGCAACGAGTTTTTACTTGATTTAGGTGGGTTCAAAGAAATGGGGAGGGGAAAGGTAGAGCTGAAAAGAATAGAGAACCCAACAAACAGGCAAGTGACTTTCTCAAAGAGAAGAAATGGGCTTCTAAAGAAGGCTTTTGAGCTTTCCATCCTCTGCGATGCTGAAGTTGCCCTGCTTATTTTCTCTTCCTCCGGAAAGCTTTATCAGTTTGCCAGTCATGAGTAAGTTAAATTCTCTGTTGTACTGCTTCACCTATGCATTTTGTCATGGAAGCATGTAACTCATGCAAGGTGTAAACTGTGTGTAAACCAAGCATTATCTTTATTATTTGATGTTTTTCATTGCTCTGAATATATAAATTGCTGCAGCATGGATAGGAGTATTACAAAGTATAGAAGGGAAGTAGGGCTGCCAGATTCAAATAACCCTCAATTTAGAACCATGGAGGTAGTGTGATTATTTCTTATCAAGCTTACTTTTCAATGTTCAATTTGCATGTGAATAATGAAGATAATTCAATTATGAACTATATGTTACATTACATTGAAATTTTCTCACGTTTGTTGTTCTCCATTGAAAACCAGACACTTTTTCATGGGCTTGATTTGGTTGGTTCTACTGAACTAGGCCCAGGGGATCTTTTTCTTGCTGTATGTATTCATAAACACTAGCTAGGATATACACAGCTTGGTTGGGATAATACTTGAAGAAAAAAGATAAACATAAGACAAAATATTGATATTAATTGTCTCAATAATCGACTTCAGTATGTGTGTCTATGGACATTATCATCTAAAGACAAGTATAAGATATGCCTTAACGGGGTTCGGACATTTGATTACGCTAAGATATGGCTGCAGGCAGGACCACTTTATAAGAAAATTCCAGACAGTTAGTTCTGGTTAGCAATTCTTTTTCACCAGTGGACTTGATTACACTTTTTTAGTTTCAGAATATGGGCCCAAAAATGAAGTTTATATAAGTTACTTGTAGCTATTTGGAAACTAAAATTGGATTTCCTCCTATTGATTTCACAGACATCATGTTGCATAGCCATAGGTTAAACCTTCAATTTGTTCCTAATTTAACTGCATACTTGTCAGTTTAAACTATATATATTTCGATATATATAATATACCACCAGGTTTTGATTTCCTGCTGTTCATCACAGTTCTGGAGAAGTGAGATTGAAGAGTTAAAGAGATCCATAAACGCGTTGGAAGCAAGACTTAAGTATGTGCAACTTTTGCTGCAATACTATCTGTGTTGAGGTTGCTGCTGCCATAGAATTTACCATGTTGTCATCATCAATGTTTCCTTTTGCAGGCACTTATCTGGAGAAGACATATTAGCATTAGGCATGAGGGAGTTGAAACAGCTTGAGCGACAGTTGAAGATAGGTGTTGAACGAGTCCGTTCAAGAAAGGTAAAGAAAAGGGTTAACACATATATAGTTATGTTATAAATACATACGTACATATATAGATATATAGATATATATATATATATATATATCAGAGAACTGGTCAGGTAAATGTTCAACCATGATTTTATTAGTCATGCAATGGATGATAATGGCATTGTTGTTCAGATATGATTATACCTAAACAATAATTTGATTTTTTTTTTTGCTGATTTACAACAAACAGAGACGCATTGTTTCTGATCATGCCACCTCGCTAAAGAGAAGGGTAAGAAAATGCCTAGAACAAAATACCTACTTCCTGATAAGTATTAAACTTTATGACTTGATGATTGGAACTTGGAACACAAGATCATGGTGATTCCTTTAAACAATTGCTTAACAACTTAATAAACTGAGCTTGAAGAAATATTGATGAGAAAGCCATTCAAACTTACATCTTGTTTTAACGCAGCACAAACAATTGCAAGAGGAGAACACTCGTCTCCAGAAAAGAGTGAGATTTTCTTGTGCATTACTGTACTTTATATTACTATTACTAGTAAGTATTTAGGTAATTGGAAACATTAAGTTCTGAATGAACTCTATTTCTGTGAATTTTGAGGTTAAGTTGAACGAGCTACAAGATGGTAACATCAGCTCAAGAATTGTGGGTGAAAATGCTTGCACCATGTTCCATGAGCAAAGGTAATTAATCAATAATATATTACTTAATTACAAGCCTTCAAGTTTGTGATAGACTAATGTATACAGCACCTTTTCCTGATCTATTTTACATAGACTTGGGATAGCGTGTTAGACACCATGTTTTTGATAACTTATTTTTTTGACTGGAGGCTCAAGGCTCTAGTGAATAAACTCGCCGCCTATAATACTTTTTTTTTTCAATTAAACCCCTACTTTCTTTTTTTTTTTCTTAAATCTTTTCCTTTCTATTTTTTTTTGTTTTATTTATTTTATTTTTATTTAAAATTTTAAAATAACTTTGTTAATTCAATATAATAAATAAAATATGATAATTATATAATAAAAATAATTAATAAATAATTAAAAATTAAATAAATACTAAATTTTATAATCAAATAAATATTTAATAAATTAAAAAATAAATAAATTGTAATTAATATAAGTTAACAAAAATATATAATTACATAAATAATAAAAAAAAACTTTAGTATAATGTAATTAATAATCATTTTATCTTCTCCCTATACTTAATCTTATTGGTATAGTTATTTTTACATCCAAATACATATTTTATTATTGATTTTAATCTCATTGTTACAATGTCCAACTCACCGCTATAGTAAGTTAATAATTAATTTTATTATCATCATTGTTTTAAATCTCACCAAAAATAATTTCATCGTTCATTCAAATAGATCTTAATTTTGGTGACATTAAAAATAATGGTGAATGTGAGATTATTATTTTAGTAGTGAGATTAAAATTAGTGATAGAATGTATATTTGAGTATAAAAACTCTAGTGACAATAAGATGAATTATAGTGAAAATTTTAAATTATTTAATATTTATAAAATTAATAAAAAATTAAAAATTATTTTTATGTCAAATTATAATTGTATTAATAAATAATTAAAAAATAATATATCAAATGATTTTTTAAAAAAATTAGTAATAACATATTTACAATTATTGACAATAATCTAGAAGATTACTTATTATTTTTTATCAAAATAAAACTTAGAAAACAAAAAAGAATGGAAAAACCAAAGATAAAATAAAAAATTAAATCAAGTTTACTTTTATAAAAAGAGGCTGCGGTGGAAATGAAAAATCCACCGGACCCTTTAACCTCCAGTGAGATTTCCAAGCATTAATACGAGTTTTTTTACAAACGCCACCGCAGCTTGTTATCCAAACAGCTTATTATGGTGCAATTGCACACAAAAATTGGATAATCCCGCGGTAATGGGAAATTACTGTTTGCCATGTTAAAAGCTTTTGTGCTTTGAAATATTGCAGGATTCTTCAAGATCTCCCTTAAAGCAGCAGAAAAGGTCTCCCACTATGACTAGATATGCATCAGTTACTTCAGCTGCATACGGTACTATCGCATATATGGTACTAGTTGACAGTGACAAATTTATTTGCGCTGGCTTTATGTTTAATATGCTTTGGATGGTTTTTATGGTTTTATTTTTATCTTAAGCACTATAAAGTGTTAAAGCAATATTTGTGGACAATCCCCATCTGTATGACAGGATGAACAAGAATTATATAATATTGTGTCATCATCACTTTGATCATGCAAGGAAGGCATACATGTATATGTATAAACCTATGGAAGTTCTGAACTCCTAATTGTTTCACCCCTTGATATGATGTTCTTTCAAGGTTGATGAATGAACATCAACATCCCCCAATATGTGAACATGGTATGTTTTTTTTTTTTCTTTTCAGGATAAATATGAGACCAAACTTATCAGATCACATGTTTTTGACCATGTAAACAAGCATATTACTTTGCTGTAGTGAAAATCTTTTACATATTACAGCATCCAACAAAAAGGATGTGATCTACTAGACTACTACTATTGGTAGGAGGCTATCAGCAATTAAAACGGATGAAAAAAAACTTCCAAGCAAGTCTAGGAACTTACAGTTGATCAATCCCCCCTTTCTAGACTAAAACGCTGTCGAACACCTGATATATAACTTGAAGCCCTAGCATCGATGCCTTCACCGTAGTTGCCATAGGAGTCATTTGCTGTATCAGAAACAATATAAGAGTGCTTCTGCTTTGTTGAATGACCCATAAATGCATCACTGTAAAAACCTGTAGAAGCCATTGAAGCAGATGGACTAGGCTTAACTTTGTTGCTATGCTGTACAGAAGATGATGAGTTTGGTGCCTGATACAGAGACATTACCATCTTACTTTTCTTGAATCCTCTACGCTTAGACTCCATTAACTAAACCAAGATCTTTTTTTTTTTAGTGTTCTTAGGTGTAAAATAAGTTATACCTGCTTCTGTATATATAGTAGATTCCTATAGTCTAAAGAGATGAGATAAAGATAAAACATTAGCTTGGAAAAAAATATCTTGTGGGATTATCTGTATGAGGTAGATATTTTGGAAATGGAAAATTGGCCAGATCGTTTTCAGCTTGTTTAGTACTTGTCTGAGTGAAGCAACAAGTGCACTACGATCTCCCAGCTTTGTCCTAATATTGAAGGTAATGGGGCCAGGCGGCCAACATTTTCCCAGATATATATATTTTCTATCTTTTTATTGGTAACTTTAGCCTTTAGTAGGATGTGAAAGCTAAGATGCTTCCTAGCCCAAAGAATATGAATAAATATGCTTGTAACTGGACATGTTCTCTTGGATAAAACCAGCTTGATCATATCAAAATATCATCAAGTATATATCTTTCTGTTTGAACGTTGACTTCATCTGCTTGAGATAAACTTGATGAAGATCAATAGATCATTGCACTGCACAGGTATTTTGTTGGCTCTTTGCCCCAAGTTGTTCCAAATAGCTTAATTTTTTTTTTTTCAACTAAGGCTTCATTTGGCGGCACAGTGAGAGGGACTTCCATCACGCCATAGTTGCATTTTATGACTGGACCTTTAGGAGTCATGTCATAAAACGACATCACATAGCAGTGGGGGTTCCTCCCATCATAGTGCCAAATGAATCCTAAACTAGAAGAACAAATGAAAATAGAACAGTCTTGAGTTCCATGCATGTAATTCAGACAAACAGTTCATTCCACCGATTAACAGACGGATCTTCCATGCGTGAATTACAGATTAATATGGTTGAATTAGGATTCATCACAACTTGAATTCTAGGATTCATCTTAGCAAATTTCTTTCAACGATTCTTCAAGCAGTAAACGATGGAGCAGTCATTAAGACTAAGAGAATCTGGCACAATGAATCCACTGCTGGCATCCCTATGATTCTTTAAGGACTTATCAAGATCAAAAAGAGATAAGCACCATATAACTTTGACCATTTGTGATCAAATTTCCAATCAAAGCTGGAATCCCTACAATTATTAGCAATGGCATGACATGTTTTGTTACTTTCAGTTGGACAAATAGCCTTTATAAGCATAGTTAATGTTTAGTTGGTTGGATCAAATTCTGAAGTCCAACCAATTTCCAGATACTTGACATTCTCTAAACAAGGAGGGTCTCTCCATTTCTGATTTTTTTGCAAGCAAAGCTACAGCATAACTGTTGGAGGATACCGAAAGAGCCCGAAAAGTCCAAAAGTAATGCAACTTTATGTGTTTGTTTGCTCCAACATATCTGGTATCTTCTCATGTAAAAAGGATAATCAAAAGATGGTTAAGGAGATTCTACAAATATTGCTACTGAGTCTCAAAGGACTGGCTTTTGGACTGTAAGTCTGGTATCAGTCCTCAAACCAGGCTGACATAGCAGCCCATGTATAAGAAACTTTATGGATTATTTGATAAAAATATAAAAAAAAAAAATCAAAAATTAATTCAAAATGATAATATTCAATTTGATATATATTAATTTTTTTTATTTATTTTAAATAAATTTAAATATTACATATATATATATTAAATTTGATCAAATTTTGAATTAAAATATAAAAAATTAAAAAAATTTTAAATCAAATTAATTATATATTTTTATTAATTTATATATATATATTTTAAATTTTATAAAATAAAAATAATTATTTTATATATAAATTTAGTTAAATATATTAAAATAATATATAAAAGTTTTAGAAACATTTAATCAAATTAAACTAAACTGATAAATTTTGATTTAAATCAATTAAAATTTATAATTTTATACACTGAATCTATCCGATTCAAACTGAAATCACATCTAATTATTACATAATGGCGCACACATGTTCTTTTCTCCTCTAGCCCTTTCCCATTTCTCTCCATTTTCACTCGTGTTGAAGATTCAAGCTCTCTCTGTTCACCATTAGCATAAAAAATGGTGACATCTGTTGCAGCTCGAATCTCCAGGAAAGCCGCGGCCAATGCGTTCTCCGCTCACCGTCACGTCATGGCCAACCGTTGTTTCGGCACGGAGGCGGTCAAAACGATATCGCCATCGTTGGATCGAGTGAAGTGGGACTACAGGGGCCAAAGAAAGATAATCCCTCTCGGCCAGTGGGTCCCGAAGGTAGCTGTCGACAGTTACGTGGCGCCTAACGTCGTCTTGGCCGGTCAAGTAACCGTCAACGACGGAGCTTCTGTGTGGAATGGCTGCGTCCTACGTGGCGATCTCAACAAGATCACCGTTGGATTCTGCTCTAATGTACAGGAACGCTGCGTCATTCACGCCGCATGGTCCTCACCGACCGGTAATCCTTTCCTTTATCTTTCTCCTTTTGGTGTTTTTATACCTTTTTAGAGAAAATTTAGGGTTTTGGACTTCTTTATAATCAAAATTTAGCGTGAAATTAGATTTCGGATTGGTGTTGATTTACCATGGAATGAGCTAAATTGGTTAAAGCTTTGACTGATTGGTACTTGTATTGTTATACATTATGTTTTAATATGTTCCATGCAGCTGAGAAACTAATCACATTTAGAGGGATACAATTAGTGTTCTTTGCTTTATTTGCAGAGATATTTTTGGTATTGTATGATCTGTTTAGATGCATTAGTTATATGGTAGGGCACATTGTCCATAAGAAGGTTGGTTTTATAACAATGAAGGTCATTAACTGATGAGAAAAGTCTGTGAGTGACCCCTCAATGATTCCTGGTTCTTGTTCATATGTCTCTGTGTTAATATTTTAGGTATCTGATAATTGCAACTTGCTCCTTGCTGCTGTTACTGATTTACATGTCTTTCTGATAATGCCCTCTTTTGTTTCCAGAACGATGGGTTGACTGTCAATAACCGGTTCATTCTTGAATATTGTTTATTGGTTGCTCCTCTTTTGTGACCATTGTTTTCTAGTGTAGCTCTTGGAACCTGTAAGCTCATGCTTGATTGCAAGTCAGCCTCGCTTGTTTAACTGGGGATTTCTTCAATCGTTAGTGAATTATGCTCTGCAGTAAAAATAAAACATAAAAGCAATGTTTTAGGTAGAACTTTATTTTGTCCATTTCTATTCCTCAATGGCATCATCATAAGAATACTATTTTCGAGTCCTGACTATATTTAATTTGTAACAATTTTCTATATTACAGGACTTCCAGCTGAGACATCAATTGAGAGGTTTGTGACAATTGGTGCATACAGTCTCTTGAGATCATGCACAATTGAACCAGAGTGTATTATCGGACAGCATTCTATTCTTATGGAAGGTTCCTTGGTGGAGACTTACTCTATCCTTGAAGCTGGTTCTGTAGTTCCTCCAGGTAGGATAATCCCAACTGGTGAGCTTTGGGCAGGAAATCCAGCTAGGTTTGTCCGGGCTCTGACCCATGAAGAAACCTTAGAAATCCCAAAACTTGCTGTAGCAATTAATGATCTGAGCAAAGAACATTTCTCGGAGTTCCTGCCATACTTAACAGTATATTTGGAAGTTGAGAAGTTCAAGAAGTCCCTGGGAATTACTATTTGATTGCCTTTTGTTTTCATTTTTCCATATATCAGTTTACTGGAGTTTAGCCACGTATTCGATCGTGTTGGCTGTTGAAAAGGGAAAAAAACTTGTAGTTGTGAGTTCCAATGAAATGTAATATAATTTGCAACGGAAGGATCTTGTCCTTGTGAACTAATGTCTTTTGTGTGCTGAGCACATTACTTGTTCACTGTTTTTGCCCATTGTGATAGCTTTGGTTGAACTATAAAATTGCCAGCTTTCTTATCATCAAACATAAGTAATCTTTATTGCAACTCCAGTCATCCCAAACATCAATCCTGTTACTGCTAATTAGAATCAGACCAATGGGTTGGACCATTTCCTTTGATCTTTCACTTTTCCGACTTGTAGTTGTGAGTTCCAATGAAATGTAATATAGTTTGCAACGGAAGGATCTTGTCCTTGTGAACTAATGTCTTTTGTGTGCTGAGCACATTACTTGTTCACTGTTTTTGCCCATTGTGATAGCTTTGGTTGAACTATAAAATTGCCAGCTTTCTTATCATCAAACATAAGTAATCTTTATTGCAACTCCAGTCATCCCAAACATCAATCCTGTTACTGCTAATTAGAATCAGACCAATGGGTTGGACCATTTCCTTTGATCTTTCACTTTTCCGACTTGTGTTATTCCAATTTTCAATTCCAGGGTATTGTGAGAGAAAGCACTTTCATTCTTGAAAAGATTATTATTCAAGAGATTTTGAGTGCATTTGTGAGTCTTGGCATGAATCAAGTATGAGAGTCGACTGGGGGATCATAGATTTGCAGGTGTGGCATAACCTGGGAGCAGAAGCACCCGCCCACCGTCAGTTACTCATCCAATTGTGGGACTATGAGTCCAATTTCCACAGCCCAAAACACTACATATTCATGTACCACCTCTTTGCTACTCGATGACTTATTTTCTTCTGCAGGTTTGGATTTTTTTTAAAAACGAAACCTCAATCAAAGCATGGACAATGAAATCAAATCTTGCAGCAATCAATTAAAGCACTGGAAAATGAAACCAAATCTTGTTGGTTTGTTATAGATGGCTGGTTCTAAAATTCAAAGGACAAATAGACTGGTTGGTGCATTCTGGTGCTAAGGGTCAAATCGGATTTCCATTTCAGTGCTCCAAAATATCATATGATTTTCTTAATTAATACAATATTATTTTATGTGCACTAAATTGCGGGGAAATTAGGACAAACGACATTGGTGTGGTTTCTTCCTGTCCTTAGTGGGAACGAAATTAGCAGAAACCCTCAGTCTCTCCGCCCACCCAAAATTTTATAATAAATCAATTTGAATCAGTCCTTTTTATCATTTACACCTCATTGGTTGGTTGGATATTGCTTTGTCAAACTTAATCAATATTTTTTTTCAATGACATAATCATGATTATGATAACATTAAGCATGATTACTTTCTTTAGCTTTTCAACAACGACCTCGGTTTGTTTGGTCCCTGTAAAGTTCAGATCACCATTCCCAAAGCATCATCACCATCTTCAAGTGCCATGGCTGCAATATGCCATCTGTTAAACTCGATCTCTCTTGAAAATTTTGGAATATGGCCAGCTCGAGTTAGCCGGCCAGTTTAATATATCCTTAATTTGTTCTACCTGCCAATCCTGTTAATGCAAATAATTGATAAGAAGCTTTAATGCAATATACTGAAATGATCATATTCTGTTAGGAATGGGAATGGACAGTAAATAAATAGATATTTACTATTATTTGATTCAAATAAATTTGGATAAGAGATTTGCTATCCATAATGGATTCAAAACGAATATAAATAGTATTTCTTGAATATAATATATGAATATGTTTAAATTTGAAAGAATAATAATATATATCAGATTTTATATCCAATTCCGTTATCCGTTTATATATATATAATATATAAAATTTTGTTTGTAAAATGTTTCAAACCTAAAAATTAATTTTTATTTATTATTAATTAAGAATGAATTTAAATTTTAAATTAAATTTTTATTTATTTTATATTTTGACAAAAAATTTAAATAAATTGATAGTTTAACGGATTCAAGTATTTAAACGGATAATATTTATTTAAATGAATTTGGATGTGAATAGTAATATTAAACTTAAACTGTTGTTTAAACAGATTCAGATATTATAAATATTAAACGTATTTAAATACAAATATCTAAAAAATAATGAAAATTCATTCTATTATCATTCTTAATTCTGTACTCCAACATTAAAGCTAACAGCTTAGAAAGTTTACATATATATATATATATATATATATATATATAAGAGATTGATAGAGAAAGAGGTCGCAGATAATAAAATTTAAATCTTAAATTTTTTTTAAAAGTAATTGTATTGAGTTAAACTTCAAATTCGTAAAAGATTAAAATAAATAAATAAAATGGAATTTCAATAATATTTAAAGACAATTCACTTTTAGAGTACTTATTTATTTTCATTGTTATTATTAGTTTTATTTCAAAATCTTTTTTTTTTTTTGGGGGTTTTTGATAAGATTATAAATTGACGAAAATAAAGGTAATGATGATAGTTACATGAATATATTATTTATTTTCTTGATGGAACATGAATATTATTCAATCAACAGCAAAACCATATTATTAAAATTGAGAGATGAAAATGTATCAGAGAAACAAGTTTTTTTGGGCACTTATGTCAAATGTCATCAACCACTAAGCATCATGGAAAACCTAATGGGAAAATTTATACAAATTGTCACTCTTCTTAATGAAGCAAGGATTTTGACGTCTCAACCATATTATAATATCTATCTAGCAAGCTCATAATTATGCCTCTTCCATCTTATTTTCCTCTTCCTTCCCCTTTTAGAATTACCTTTAAATTCGATCGTTTTGATCTTCATCTCGATCATAAAAGAAAAAGATATATGATATTCGTTTTCATCGTAATCACGATAAAAAAAAAAAAAAAAGATAAAAATATTGACATATACATGATCCTGGTCTAAAATATCTTGCTTGTGATCAAAGATTTCTTGTTCGTGATCAAAGATCTTGGTTTAAGTGGTAAGCACGAAGAGAAAACGGGGATGTTGGAATGGCTCAATCAAATCAAATCTCCTAAGTTTTTTTGGGTCCTTTAATTTGATTGAGCCGTGCCAATATCACGTTTACTTATCTTCATACAAGTTCCTTTTTTCCTTGTATTTCTGACGATGAATCTTCATGCTATAACAAATTCCTTGTTGGGTCATAACTACTTCTATAACAAGTTTCTTTTTCTGCCATGATTCTTGTGAACTGTACATATGTATGACACCTTCAGGCTTTAGTTTTAATCAGCTTGATTTTCTGGAAGATTTTGAATCCTTTTCTTTCTTTCTTTTTTTCAAACAACGTTATTGGAAGGTTGTTTTAATTATTTCTGAGTTTGAGTTCTCCATAGATGATGACCTAAAATTGTCTTGAAATATATCTTCCACTGATCTCTCTCTCTCTCTCTCTCTCTCTCTCTCTCTCTATATATATATATATATATATATATATATATATATATATATAACTCTCTTTCCCCAGCCCTTGCTTGCAAAAATATCCTGGAAAATTGTTTGCCAGGAAGAGATGTGATCTATTCCAGACTTTTGTCTGATCTGATGAAACAGTAAGGACTGAGGATGGCCTTAAACTTAAGCAGTAAGCTATCCAAAAAGGAACTGCATATAAATTGTCTTATTTTAACAACCCAGGGTTAGATTTCTGTACTGGTTATTGCCTTTTATATATTAATAGGTCAAAGTTAAACATTCAACTTCCTCTTATATCTGTATGTCTTTTATGTCAAGAAAATATATAGTGTCAATGTTATCATCCTTGAGATAGTTGCCGGCCCATCATTTTTATCCTCTTTTCTTCTTTCACGACCAATTCGTATGTGAAAAGTGAAATAATATCTCAACTGATCAAAGACCAACTCCAATGTAGCAGTATCACCATGGTTTTTTTACTGATCTGATGGTTCGCAATAACAGGTAATGCAAATTTGTCAGTGTCTAAGCTTAAGCCGTCGGGATCTGTTTGCGAATTCTATGCTGGTTTTGACCAATTATCATAGCTTTCTCTACCTTTTTCTCATGCCTTCGTACTTTTTTTTTCTTTTTTCTTTTTGGCCGTTACAGGTTTTCGTGGTTATGGCGAAGAAGAGTTACAAAAGAATTCAGTAGTCAACATCCACACATGTCAAAGCTTAATCACTGCCAACGGGGATTGATTAAGTTGGTAAGGTTGGAAAATTTTACGCACAAAGCTTAAGTTCAAATCCCGCTACTAGTGATCTTCCTTGGTCGATTTTAAATCTAATATAATCCTCTATGAAGCCTACGGTCTATTTTGACCCTGAAAAGGAAAACCCCCCTCCTCTTAAACTTTTTTGACAGAAAAAAAAAAAAAAAAGGCAAAGCTTAATTCCTAACAATTCCAATTTGTTCCATACCAGGGTTCTTCACATCTTACCACTATTTGGATGTTGTTCCAATCTATCTGTTTTCATCCGAATTCCTACATGCTTGACACTGAATTAATTACTGGTGATCAGTGTAAACGAGACAGGACATTATCATTATTACTATTGTAACATACAATAAAAAGGTCTTTCTTGCACATGTCTAGGCCTAGCTAGCTATTAGAGTTTTCGACAGATTAGAGAGTAAAGTCAGACATGATTGGCGAATTCTCCGTGTCCTGAAGAAGTCACTCTTCTTGTTTTTGTATTTGGTTTGGTAGGAGACAAGGGAAAGGATTAAATGGAATAGTTGATAGGAAAAAGAATGAATCTGCATTTTTATTTCCATGTCTCAAGACCCAATATATCCACCACTGGAAAGAAAATGGAAGGGAAACAACAATTTCATTTAATTGAATGATAATCATATTATCATTCATTATTTTTCCCCCATCAATGAAACCATTTTTCATTTTTTTAGTAAAAGAAAACCATAACCTGAAAATAAGAAAAATGTACATGAAAGAACATGAAACTTCTCTTCTTAAGCATCTAAAACAGAAAACAGGTATCTATTTTACAAAGGTGGTCTAATACAAGGATGTTCGTTTTGTTCTGCGATTTTTAATTCTAGAAATTCATAAGAATGCAGCCTTCTAAGAATAGGTCAATCTTTTAAGGATAATGAAAACACTTGAGCAGCACCAAGCAGCTGGTTACTTTTAGAGTCATCTCTGAGACTGAAGACTTCCCATCCATATTAAAGGGAGCCATGGAAAAGATCTAATGCTCTGCAGGTGAAGCATATGACATCACAAGATAAACAGTACTATAGACATGGAGAGGGCAATGAGCAGAGCCTTCTTTGCCTCCATGCGCAGTTAAGCCAGTATAGCCACGCCCAATTTCCCCACCGCAAAATATTCCTGCCACGGGAACCCCAGGAAAGTTCTCCAAGAATGGCGTGCTGTCAACATTAAGGTGCCCAAAGAATGACTCCCCACGGCCAAGGCAAGAAAAGATGAATCCTCCGAAAGCTTCCTTCTTATCAATGGCATTAACAACAGCCCTTTTGCTGAGGCAGCATTTAGAATCCCAATCCAACTTCAAACTTCTAAGGGCTGAGGAGACATTTCGGCATGAAGGTAACGCAGTTTTGGGATCTGAATGGTAAAACTGGAAACAGTCTCCAGTTCTGATTCCGACACCATCAACATAAAGGTACTCCTCATCTCCTCTGTTGAAAAACATTTAATTTGTTCAATTAAAATGGAAAAGAAAGGAAAAACACCAATGAGTGCAAAACGCAATCCTTTCCTTGATTTTATTTGTTGAATGTGTGCTCCAGAAGAAGTGAAAGCAATTATTTTACTTATCAAAAGCAAATGCTCTTATAGCAATTAAAGAAGAAAAAACAAGCTCAATTGTACAAATGCTAAGCATCATACCACAAACTATAGCAAAGGGCCCCAAAAATCACTTACCTACGTTGTTTTGACAAGTTCATGTCTAATATGTCTATGAACACAGCAGATGAGCAGCTAAGTACCATGGGTAAGTCCATGACGATACATAATGCTCTACAACTCACAATTCGGGACAATACTTTGATAAGCAGCAACTAACATATGTAGATAGCAAAAAATTTTCCAAAAGTGGGCAGTGTGAGATGTGGAGAGAGAAAGAAGGCATGGAACAAGAAAGTTTGATAGTTATACATGACAATCATGTAATGGGTTTGTATGCATGTTCGTCTGGGAACACAACCAATGCAAATGAGCCCCTGGCATGCATGTGATATGATTTGTGAAACCAAACAAAGATGGGAAATTTTTTTCCTGTCTTACCCTTCAACTCCATGGAGTGTCAACGTCGTCATCAACCTAGGCTTATCTGAGCCAACAGAACAGTTCCGTCGTCTTGTAACCCCAATGTAAAGTTCAACGTATTCCATATGATTTTCCATCTGCCATTTATTTTCACTTCAGAAAATTTAAGAGCATGGAAGAATCATAATGAATAATCAGTGCTTTCAAGCAAATGGGTCGTTTTGATATAGTATAATTGCAATGGATCAAAACTTCAGGAGGAAAGGGAGGATGCTTCAAAAAGAAGGATCAATTAGAAGGACAAAACCTTTTACATTAAACAGGCAGTTCACACCGCATCTTCATATTTTAAAGACCAATTTCTATAAAGCTCACGCTGACTTATACACTGTCTTATACTTGCTCTGAAGTGCACTAACATACCTCATTATCGATATCATCCAGCATACTTTGACCATCAAGAATCTCCTGCTGTCCTTCTCTTCTGGCAGTGAGCCAAGTAACATTTTCAGATGCTTTCACCTTAACAGAAACTGCCTTAAGCCTTGGTCCAATTGCCGAAACACCATTTGACAATGCAAAATGAAATTCAATATCCCCTATACCTGAAAATTTAAAGCACATCAGCACAGGCTACCAAAAAATGAAAAAAAAAAATCCATAGAGCACAGGAAGAATCTATGAAGTGGCCCATGAGATACGCAACATGATTCAACACAAACCATAGGATAATTAAACATTAAACATTGTACCCAATGACAGGAAGAAACAAGAACAAGACCTTAATGAAATAATAAGTAGAAAATGGGGTGGCAAGATTGAGCATGAAGCAATGAGAAACTATTTAGTGAATGTTGCTACAAGAAAATAAGCTAGCAAAACTGATAAAAGGTGAATTCTGAAATTTCTACTATTCTTGGTAACAATTTTCTTTGGAGAGTGCGAGGGAGAACAACAAAGGGGGAAAAAACCAGTGCCAGAATAAGTTCAAATTTTCAAACCCACAGCATAGGGTATTGAAAATGCCACCTATCCAAAGTGGCATAGGATAACCTCAATAGCAACGCAGTATGTTACTGGTAGCATAGGAACAAAAACTGTACATAGGCACTCACTAACATCAACAGTTAACAAGCAAAAGCCGTTAGCAAGTGAAGAACTCCTGAAAAAAAGGTACTAACAAAATCTTTACCCTTTGTGGTGACACACGATGTCAAACTTTTACAGGAAATTAACTCCCATACCTAAAAACAATTTAAAAGAAACAATAAATATGGTGCAGACTTCCTTGTATACATGCTTGCAAACTCTATCTCTCCAAGAATGTATCTTATTGACATGAACAAAATGTTGCAAGTGCAAATGTGCTTCCTGACAATAGGATTGAAATGTAATACAGCTGTTACTGAAATTTCTTGGGGAATAAGATCAACTATATTTTCCTATTGCACTTGCAACAGGAAACCTATGCATGTGCAGCAATTAAAACAGGTAATTATTTTCATAAAAATATGAGAAGAAAGAAATAAATACATAACCAAAGGAACAGTTACCATGGGCCTTGTCTCTATCTCTTGCAAATACAAGAGCAACAGCATCAAGAGAGTGTTTTTGACTAGTGCTGGCATTTCTCGGAACATCAGCACTTCTATATACAAACTGACCTCTCTCATCACCCACAATGATCGTTTCCATGGGCATTGCATAATCTGAGATGGACAAGATATTGGAGACAATAATAAACCATGCACAAATTTTCTGAATAACATGAGAGGAGGTAAAATGGAGCTAGAATTAATCTGACAACCACCTAGGTCATGTAGTTGGGAGCTGGGAAGCTGTGAAATAGGATTGAAAAATACCAAAAAAAAAAAAAAAGATGGAATTGACATAGATGTATAAATGATTGATATGACATTAATATGTTCATTTATCTGTTGAACAAAAGGCAGAATGTAATATATGAACTAATGGTCATACCTCCCTTCAGGCCCAGGTTTGTGCTGCTGAGACTAGAATGTAGATGAGCAATCATTATTTGCTCATTATGAATAATAATTTGATGGAAATGACAGGCCAGAGTTTTGCCTATATTTTCTTAATAGTATATTTTTACCATTCTAATTTTAAAAAGAATAAAGTTTTCACTAAGCCAGGAAAGAAACAAAGAAACAATAAGTACATTAGAGTGGATTCTTTTGAATTTCCAATGCACAGATGGTTTAAATAGTTACTTCCCCTTTGCTTACAAATCAGTTCAAGTTATCAGATGGAGGAACAATTTCGTTCCATTAAAAGCAAAATGTAAAATAAAAGGAGGGGAAATGGAAAAACTCACCTAACTTTTCAATGATAGGTTTCTGGTCAACATCTGCATCCTACAAAATCACAAAGCCGCATGTGAAAAATGCAACCAAGTAAAAAACCTAACTTGAAGATAGAATGGATAAACAACGAAACAGAGAAACTTACTCCAATCATTATAATCGCAAGCGGTGAAGTGTAACCTGACACAGAGGATGTGTAACTCTTAATATCCATAACAAAATCGTCAATCATTGACCCTTGAGGTGCCTAATATATCAATAAAGTTCTCCATGTTAATTTTCCTTCCATAAATCCAAACCAACAAAACAGTTGATAAAACACTAACAACATCAGCCATCAAGATTGAATATTTGTTAGCAATTCCATGATATTACAACTTCAATAGAAGAAAAAAGTTTCACCTTGTTGTGTCCTAAAAGAGGGATAGCATCGACTTTAAGTCCCGGAACAAATCCAACAGTCAATACGATGCCATTATTTGAAGAAACTTCATCACCAATATGACCATAATTCCACTTGACCTTCCATTTTTAAAAAAGAATTTAAAAGACATATAAAATTAAACACAAAAGACATAACAAAGATCAGAATAAAAAAAAACCTCTCTAAATTCATGAGTAAGGGCATCTCGTCCAATAATTCCGCTAACAGAAGATAAAATAATCGGAGTTCTTGATCCCAGTTTATCTACCATCTGCCCAAATAACCAAAAAAAAAAACTTAACCCCCCCCCCCCAAAAAAAAAAGAGAAAAAAAGGTTAAGTTTTTAGAGTTCATACGAATTGGAGAACATTTTTTAAGTAAAACCCAGGACCAACACTGGCAATAGCAAAATGGGGTCGAATTGGCTCTGACATAACCTTGTCAAAAACCTCTTGTAAAGCAACCTATTCAAAAAATTACAAACAAAAATCAGCAAAAAAGTAAAAATAAAGTTTTCCCTTTATTTTGTCTTTTGAATTGGGAGTTAAAAGAATAAAAAAAATGCTAGCGAGAGAGAGATACAAGAGGAGAAGGGTTGAGGGAGACAGCGGAGGAGAGCTTAGGGCGAGAAAGTATGCGACTACAAGCAGCGTTCCAGGCCTTGGAGACGGCAGCTGCGGAGGCGAAGGAGGTGGCAGGAAGCCTTGAGAGTATGTTTTGAAGAAGATCATCGTTCATTAAAGAAAACCCTTTTCTTTCTTCGGGATTGGGTGTTGAAGGAGAAGATGTAGATGATCGGCTCTTCTTCCCCATCGAAGGGGTTAAGTTAAGACTCTCAAGTCTCAACAACACAAGAAACAAAAATGCACGGTTACCCCTTTCTCTGTTCTTTTCATTTTTGGCTTAAAATCCACCAAAAGGCTTCTTTTTTTTTACAATTTAATAAATACTCTTTTTGTCATTTTTCTTTTTTGTGTTTTGACTTAATAAATATTATTTTATCATTTTCAAATAATATTAGTCAGTTAATTAATTTATGCTAATGCAGCTATAAAATGATATTTTGCGCATTTAAAATTTAAATTTAAATATTTATTTTATTATTATTATTTTTTAATTACCATCATCTATGTTAAAAAAATAAATTTAAGTTGGTATTTGATATATCATTATTGGTTGACATATATTTTTTAAAATATATTTTAAAAAGTAATATATATGTCACCAAACTAATTCATTTATGTAATTAAAATTTTTCACTAACAATATATCAGATACTAAATAACATTTCCTTCGCTTTTTCTTTAAGGAAAAAAAAATCAGTAATTGAGTTGACAGTCTTTTAACACACTCAATTTGTGTGAAAAGCTTCAAACTCCAAATGAGTAGCATACATGCATAATTTATTATTATAAAGAGAAATTGTCTAATTAAGTAAAAGCTAGATATGGAAGCAAGGATTATTAATAGGATGCATGGTAGTTCATGATCAAGAAGGGGTTTCAGTTCCACAAGCAAGATGTGTTGCTATGGAAATACTAATAAATGCTTATTAATCTGCTGATTGTTAGGCCACTTCACTCAATGATGTAAAATGAAAATAACAAACGACTCCAGAGCCAAATGAACACACAAAAGAGGCTTCATTAATCATTAATTGATTATATGTAGTCCACAGGAAAAATAAGTTTCAACCCAAAAGAAAAGGCAATAGGGAAGACTAAATCCAAACCTGAAATAAAAAAAAAAAAAAGAAAAGGAAAACTTGAGCTTCAGCTATTCAATGTCCAAGTCTCCAAGCACATCATGTCATTAGCAGTTAGATTCAATTTAATATTCCAACATACTAGTTTTGGCAATCAGGGCTCAACAAAAGAACCCAAATTTATTGAGCAGCAAAGGTTTCAAAATTATTACTGCCAATGAAAGGGAAGAGTTTGAGGGGCTTCACTTCCAGAGGATTCACCAGAACCCATGTGAAACATTCCTGGGCAATGGACCGTAGTATCCCTGCCAACACCAGCTGAATCCACGGCCTCTATAATTTGGTTCTGTAGGCTTGCACCTAAGGGTTGCACCGAAGTGAATAAGTGAGGCTGCACCAAGTTACTCAAACTGACCCCAGATACTTGTGGAGATGACAGAAGAGAGAGAGCACGATCTGAATCTTGAACTGGAGTTGTTAACCTGTCACAAAACATACTGTGGCTGCCCCCACTGCCTTCCGAGAAAGGCGCAGCCCTGAGAAGTGGCTGGCAGAGAGAAGTTTCTGAAGGTGTTTGATTCTGGAGAGTGTTATTCTCACCTTGCAAGAATGTGAATTGCTTCCCTCCTCTGTAGTTGCTTGGAGAGGATGCAAGAACAAGATTTGGATTCTCAGGCGAGTGTAACTGTTGCTGCTGGTTAAGATGCCTGGACTCTGTCCCAGAATTGGTAACTCCAGGCCAAGCAGGTTTCACCACAGTGGTGGGTGGATATACATGCAAACTAGAGAATGGCGACATCTGGGTGCCTGAAATGTACAATATTGATTCAAATAATTGTATTACACGTAAATTTGGGAAAAGATTGGGCTTGTCATGCATTTTGCAATTGCTATATTCTAGACAAATCTCCAGATTGATAACAGGAAACAAGGGACATTTTATAATCCTGATAAGAGTCACAAGCAGCTTAGCTTTCTAACAATTTGGACCGATAGGCATGTCTAAGCAAATCAGTCAAAGGACCAAATATTGTGAAGTTCTACAAGTTTCTACAATCTGTTCCTAGAGGCATTGCAGCTCTTGGGCAATTAGGAGTGCTTTACATGAGCTTCATGGAGATTAAAATAGAGCTATTCGAGCTCGTCTTAAAATAGACTATGTTCTCAGATCAATCATCAAAAAGATTTCCAAAAGAAGGGTGAAAAGTAGGCGGGTGAAACTAGACCACTATAATTCACTCAGGTTGCCACTAGACTGTTCTAATGTTTCTTTCAACAAAGCAAATTGATGAAACCCTGATGAGCTGATTCAGGAAGTAAGCATTTATAGGATCTCTATTCTAATTTGGTGCAAGTGAGAGCATGAATTCATTCATGGTTAAAAACACTGAAATTAATTTCAGTCAAACATCATAGGCACAGCTGACCTTGGTACTTGGAAAAATAGCTCCCGGAACATGAGAGGGGATCTGGCTGAGGCTTCCTTCGCCTCCGGTTGTGTCCATCAAGACGTTTCCTGCAGCTTCTCTTTCTTTCATCAAACTCCTGTAGTGAGTGAAACCTACAAAAAAAGTGAGGCGATCATTGAGGAATTCAGGAAATTGTAAAGGTCCAGCCTCAAAATAGATGAAATTGAAATGCTGGTAATCAATTGGGGAACAGATTGCACTGGTTGATATCTAAGGCCATTACACATACATGAGAAGAAAACACTGCAAAACACTATCCAAGATAGACTTAGCCATTAGTATTGAGTTAATGATGAAGTAGGCAAGAATCTACTGCTGGCTTGGACTGCCTTTATTTATAAGTAACAAAATATCTCTATGACAATGAGATTACCCCGTTTGTTGCATATATAAAGCATCTAATAATGGCAAAGAGTTAAAGAGTTAAAGAAAAGAATTGATTCAAAACAAAGACAGACTTTAAGTACATCAGACTGATACTTCCTACGAAGAGGACCACCAAAAGAGAAAAAGAAAGGGTGGGGGACAGGGTAGAAGAAGACTCAGTTTAGAAACACTGGTTAAACATTTTCCTTTTCAAAAGAAAGAAAGATTCATGTGAATTTTTAGCTCACAAGGGTGGCCATTCTTCCAGGGAACTCTTTTCTTTTCTTGAAACAAAGGAAACACTTTTCATTGAACCTCTCAATCAACACAAGAATCATAATTGTGTTACAATGAAACAATTGATAGTAAAGCATTCAATTCTCGTAGACGGTGCACGGTTGCCTAAGATAGTAATGCCAAAGTTCCTTGCAGCAGCAGCACAAAAATATTTACCAGCAAGGCAGAAAAGCAAAAGCAACCAATGAAAAGGAAATATGTAATTAAGAGAAGGAATCAGAATCATAGATCACTATAGCACAACAAATTTCTTGAACAAAGTTCAAGTAATCAAGAAATGCAAAAACATAATAAAGGAAGTACCTGCTGCATTGTTGACAAAACCGTTGCTTCTGGCCATTAATCATAACCTGTGCAGTCTTAGAGTGGAGCTCACACACCTTATGGCGCCTATGGTAGTCCTTGCAATTACTAAGGTCTGAATTGCACCCATCAACAAGGCAGAAAACCCGATGAGTTCCATTATTAGTGGCTCGTGCCCTCTTTGAAGGTGAAGACTCCATCTTTAAGACTGCTGGCTCCCTCCATTTATTCAATGACTCTTCTCCTGAATTTCCTACCTGACCAAGCTTCAAATCAACTGAGAAATCCACTTTGTTCCTAGGAACTTTATAGCTACTTGATCCATTGATTTCATCTATCCCCATTACATCTTCCTCCACAAATTCAGCCAAATCCCAAGAAGCAGCTTTCAAGTTCCAGTCCATAAAATCTTTCGCTTAATCTATCTTTATTTTTTCTTGTCACTGTTTGTTGCTCACCCGATAGGAAACTGTGTCACAATTATTTAAGAAAAAAAATCGATAGTGCTGTAAAAATTAGCTTAAAGAAAAGGGAAGAAAGCCCCAAAAGAAAGACATAAGAAAGCAAGAAACTATATCAGAAAAGTCATAGTTTTATAATAAGGATACTACTAAGGATGTTGAAAAACAAACATTGTTCCAAGAAGATTGGAAGCAAAATATATATATATATATATATATATATAGAAAAGTACTAACAAGAGATAAAGAAATAATAAACAAATACACAGATAAGAAGAAAGATTGTAACAGAGGGTTCTTACAGCCAAGTCAAGAAGAGTTGTTTTTTTTCTTTCCACTCATTTATTCAGTGACATGGACTCCATTTAAAATCAATAAAGTCGGTGATCAAAGAGTAGAGGAAATCAGACACAAAAGGAGATAAAAGAAAAAGGAAGTAAAGAACAAAGAAATTTACAAAGAGGAGGTGGGTTGCAGTTGAAGCCTTGCAGGCTAAGAAAAAAGAAAAGAAATCAGTTACTGTACCTCATTAGCAGAAATGCAACAAAGGGTTTTAAAGTATAGACAACAATGGATAATGTAATGAAAGGGGAAAAGATGTTTTAGTTGAAGAGTTGAAGAAGTGCAGTGTTGCAATGAAGGGAGCCAAAAAAAGTGTTAGATTTGTTTTGTTTTATAAATGCACTTGCATCCATATAGGGCTTGTTTTGAAATATGTAATGTTATTGAGAATAGAGGGAGAGAGGATAACAGGGACAGCCTCTTTTTTTTTTTTTTTAACCTTCAAGTTTGTAAACCGTGAAAAAGAAATACAAAGGGTGGATGCTTAGTACAAAGCATGTGGCATTGTGTTTCACATTTCGTGGCATGTTTTTCATTTTGAGTTCCTTTAGCTTTTGAAACCTGGAAGCCTACGCTCCCAGGAAAGAGATTGGGAAACAAACAATATTCTACGTAGAGATGCAAAATTTAACTTGTTTTTATCGATGTGAACCTTCTCATTTCAAACTCTAAAAAATTCAAATTCAAATTGATTTTATTTTGAACTTTAAATTACTTAAACTCAAATTATTCCAACATGAAATGATTAAAATTTCCTTTAGTAATAAATATCCAACTCAATTGTCACCTTTAATTAGATCTAATAATCTAACATATAATATAATAATATAATACAAATTTATATAAATAAATTATACAAAAATAATATAATTTAAAATTTTAATAATAATTATATATAAATTTAATAAAATCAAAAAATTATATTTTTTATTTTTATCTTAATATGAATTATGATATATAATTTTTATATAAATATAATAAAAATATATAAATTTTAATATTTTATATGATATGAATATATAAATTATCATATCTATCTTTAATTTTACCTATACTATAACCAAATCCCTAAAGCAAAGTTTCATTGCTCTTTACTGTAAAAATTATTTTCCATTCTTTTTTCCCATGGAAACTTGACGATTAATCTGAAATTCTGAATGCAAAGATGTTTGATACGAGATCAGGGGCCTTTGCTTTCAGTCTCATCATTTATTTGCCCGGCAACCATAATCATCTTTAATACTAGATTGGGGCCCTTTAAATGTAAACCTATGGATCTATGTCAATAGACTTAATTTTACTAATGTATGGACCTACCCTCCCTTCACCACAGTATGCCATCTGGCATTATCTCAAGCTCTTTTTTTTTTGCTTTTGTTCAAATATTTTTTTATTTTTTAAAATTTTATAAATATATTTTTAAATTTTTTATGAGCTTATTTTATCAAAATTTTTCATTTTTTCTTTGCAATATTTTAAATTTATTGAATAGTTTTTTTTTTACGGATCTTAACTTAAATACCTCGTGGCTCTCTTAGTCTCTTTATTTTTTATTTTTTAAATTTTTTTAAATTTGTTAAAACTTTTTTATTGCTTTTTATATATTTAATAATTTTTTCTCAATTAAATTTTTTAAAAATTAGATCTATTTTATTATAATCTTTTTTTTTTCATTTTTTTACATTTTTTATAAATATTCTTTTTAGATTTTAAATTTTTTTATAAAATCTATTTGATATAAAAATATGTCTTTTTTTTTTGCTTTTTTATATTTTCATATTTATTTATTTTTATTTTTTAATTAAATAATTTTATCTAAAAAACTTACAATTGTATACATATGATATTCTATTTCGTTTTTTATTTTTTTATATTTTTTATTTTTTTAATCAGATTTACAATAAAAAATTTAATAAATAAATGACCCGAGCGCGGTCCTTTTCCAGTTGTAATTAAAACTAGATATTATGTATGAGATGACCCTCCCTCTGGTTTTTGACTTCTGTCGATTTGTTGTAGCCGACACCATCCTCCACATGGCTGGAATTCTAGCAATGAAACAAATCATCATTTAGGCTTGACTTGGCTATTAGAGAACATGAAAATTCTTGGTTCGAGATGCATTGTTCTTTGCTTTTAAAAAGATCTGAAAATTAATGGTGAAATGATTTTTTTTTTAATAATTAAAATTTTTATTTATCTAAAAGAATAAATGTATAAATTTCACAATACCAAATATGAAAGGATATAATATAAAAATAATATTAATTAAAAATATAAAAATAATATGATTTAAAATTTTAATAAAAATTAAATATAAATTTAATAAAATTAAAAATATATATTTTATATTTTTATATTAATATAAATTATAATATATAAATATTTTATATTTTATATAATATGAATACATAAATTATCGAATTTATATATATGCTACAAATAATTAATTTTCCGTAACGTAACAATGAAATAATAATTTAAAAAAAAACCAACAAGTTAGTCTAACAATATTTTAACAAGATTCCAATTTGTTTTAGACCTTATGAAGAAAACTTCAACCTGTTAAATTTGTTTATTTACATCACCACTTATCGGTTATAACATTAGCTTTCTAGTTCAAAGATTTGGATCAAATTGGTGTTTGAACTAATTAGGTTATTTTTTAAAATTTATGAAAAATCTAATTATTTTAGCATACTTTTAAATTTAAATTGAATATCTTAAAATTTTCAAATACAAATTATTTCGAATTCAGATTTTTTCAACTTCATATCTTTGATAATTTTATTAAATCAAGTTAAGATGGATTCACATTCAAACTTTTTCGAACAAATTTCCATAATGGAGTTCATTTTACAACCTCTTCTGATAGCTATATCTGGGAACCAACGGCAGGTTGAAGAAGCTCGGGAACACAAGTTCCAATAAAAGGTAAGGAAGTAGGCACCCATCTCCTCCCCTGCCTGCCCTATTTATTGTGGTTCATGCCTTACTGTCCCGTCGGCCCTTGAATTCAACTTATTTATAAGTGTACTTTGTTTTCCATCTTTCACTACAATCTATATAATTGTACCTGGAAGTTTGAGAGGTTGATTCATGCAAATTTCATTTTTCAACTTTCATTTTCTAACATACATCATTGGGTTCAAGCCTTTCGTTATCCCAAGATTTGCTTTCATCACTGCATGCTTTTGAACAATGATGATTCAATCGAAGTGAATGACCGTTGGCATTGGAACTTGGCATGGAATGGAATGGAATTGTCCCCATAAACCAAATCTTGGTGCGTGAAAAGCGTTAGAGGACTGCGCTTGTGATTGGGATGCAAAGATTAAAGGCATTAAACAGTCTTTGAATGGGGTCCAATTTGAAAATTTTTGGGAGGGTTGCTGCACCTTAACAAATCAAAATGACAGGTCTCAATCAGTCCTAAAAGCTCAGTTGATTGGAGGGTGAAATGGTGAAAACCAGAGAGGGGAAAGAGGTGGTGGGGGAGGAAGAGACGCACAAAGTCAGAACTCTTAAATCAGCTAACAATCCCGAGTCTAAGCTTAGATTTTATTGTACTATCAATTAAATTTAAATATTAATTTTTAATTAAATTTATTTAATATAAGTTTTTTATTGAATTTTTTTTAAATTATAATTATAATAATTTTTTTAATTACAACAATAATAATTTTTATTATTATTTCAATCTCATCGAAATTAATTTTATTATTAATCCAAAAAGGGTTTTGTTACTGTAGCTGCAAAAGGAAAGGGGGGGAAGGGAAGGGGATTGATTTCTTTGAGGTGTTTTTTTCTGCTTCATAGCGTGTCCTCTTCCTCACCATCTATGCGAGTTTCGCAAAGTGAAGTCCCACCATGGCTCCCAAGCCAAGATCCTAGATTTTGTTGTCAGCACCGTTCTGTAATTGTTTGTTGCCCCTCCCCCTCTTTTAAGGTCGGCAGTTCAATTGATTTCGATAAAATTTGATTTGATTTAATTTTATAATATTATTTTTTAAAATAAATTAAATTTTGAATCGAATTTCATCGAATAATATTAAAAAAAATTAAAATTGAATTGAATTTAAATTTTAAATAAATTCAATCTAATTCGATATTATATAAAAATTATTTTTTAAAATTTTTATTTATATATTATAAATTATATAATTATCTATTTATATTTTAAAAAATAATATTTTATTAATTTTAAATCGAATCGAATCAATTACAATTTATATAATATCAAATTGAATCAAATTAAATTTAAAATGAATAAAAATTTATCCCAACCCATCCCGTTGCCAACCCTACTCTTTTCTCCGTGTACTACTTATTGCTATTCAAGTGCTGGACTTGTTTTTATTTCCTCTAACACCATGAATATTATGTACGTCAAGCATCCAAATCAATTGCAGGTGCCTCCATAAAAAAAAGGTGGCCAACTGGGTAGAGGGTTACATGTTATCCAGGTTTTCAATGTGTTACAAAGTGGGTTCATGGTGAAAATCCTTATATCATTGAAAAAGAAAAGTCAACGAACTTCTCAATCATGCATTGACGCTACCGATCAACTAGTTCACCAAGTCAGAACATGCATGGAGAGCAAGAGAGACGGTCAGCATCAGTAAAATATGAAAAATAAAAATGATCAGAAGAACAAGAATCA